TGCACAATGTTCCATAAGCAATCAACTTTTGATTAAATATGATATTCATAACATTGTTCTCCAACTTAAATACATATCCATCTTTATCTAATAAAGATATGGATATTATATTACACATCATAGTTGGTACAAAATAGCAGCTATTTAAAATCAAAACGTTTCCATTTGGTAAAGCTAGATGAAAATCCCCTACTGCAAGTGCTGCAACTATTGCACCATTACCAACTTGCATAGTCATCTCTCCAGCTCCAAGTTTTCTATAACTTTTAAGTCCCTGTAACAAATTACAGATGTGAGATCCTGATCCGGTATCTAATACCCAGGATGTATGATTTATAGAAAAACAATTCTGAGTAACAAACACACCTGTAGATGAAGCAACAACTTGCTTATTCTTGGTGAGTGAGGCTAGGTATTCTGGGCAGTTCCTTTTCCAATGTCCTGACTTATGACAATGGAAGCATTCTGCTGTCATCATTTTTGCCTTTCCTTTATCCTTCTTGACAGCCTTCTTAACACCTTTCCTTGGTTTAGTAGTTTTCTTCATTCCTTTTTTCTTAGCAACCAATTTGCCAGAAGAGGAAGAAGATTGCCCTATAGCCAAGACTGGTGTTTGTCCCTTTTTCAAAGAACTTTCTTCCTGTCTTAACAAATTAAGCAAGGCAGGAAGAGTGGGCTCCAGATCCATCATCAAAAACTGTGATATGAATCGGGAGTATGCTGGTGTCAAGGACTGCAGAATGATATCTGTATATCTATCTGCATCTAGGCCTACGTTCAAAAGTTCAAGCTCATTGACATAGGCGATCATTTTGAGGACATGATCCCCAACAGAAGATCCCACAGTCATTTTCGTCTGGAACAGATTCCTAGACGCCGCGTACTTCATTTGTCGCGGTTGCTCGCCATACAGTTCTTCTGTATTACGAAATATGGATCTGATATCCATATTCTCATGTTGTCTCTGATGGACCAAATCCATAGAGGCAATGGTGAGGCATTGAGCAAGTGAACAATCTTTATCCCATGTATTGCGGATTTCAGTTTCCGCTATAGTGGGTTCTAGGCCTAGAACAGGTTCGGGCGCAGTGAGGACATATGCTACTTTGTCATAAGTTAGGGCAATTTTAACATTCCTCAACCAGTCTTTGTAATTAGGACCGGTTAACTTGTTCTGTTCCAATATGAGTTTTAAACCAGACATAATGGCCTGAAAGAGAGAGAAAAGGTATTTTAGCAGATGTTCAATACATAAAATAGATTTGGTTTATTTTTATCTAAGTTATGCCTCCCACTATTTTTCGAGTCCCTCAAAACCTTATAATAGGTGATCGGAAAACAACTCATTGTTTTCAAGTGGGATCAAGATCCAATTATCATTGAATGCATCAACCTTGGCGTATGTCAACAAATTAACACATTCAATAATTGGTAGACAACTTTTGTCTTTTACACTCTTGTAATTCTTGATATGATTTTACCCCTAGTCTTTTATGACCTTGACGTATGCCAACAAATCATAAAATGCTAGTCAAGTTTGTACCCATCATTTCTTGACTGGCTTAAATTTAACTTATGCAAACTCTTGACGTATGCCAACAAAGTTGCATAACCAACTTAAGCTATCCTTATATCTTATATACAGATGAATACTATTTAGCCATAGAATAGTTATGCCTTGACGTATGCCAACAAACATAGTATTTATAAGCTTAATAGTATTTAACTAAAATGATGGAGGGCTACGGACGATTTCTCAAATCTTTTACCGTAATCGAACTTGATATAGTTTAAAGATGCTCTATATTTATACTTGCAACAATTAAACTAGCCAGGAAAGCGCAAGATTGGTGGGAGGGTTCCGAGCTATTCACCGGGAATATTTATCGGACCTTAATTAAGTAACCACTTCTCTTTAAGACTATAACGCGAAAGATTGGGCATCACCCCCTTATCTTAAGTTGGGCATCACCCCATGAGTTATATCTTATAATCACTTTCCTAGACACTAGTTAAAAGTTCGTTCTAAATACATCTCTTTTAACTGCTTTAGGTTTATTTATCTTTCACACTAACACTATGTTAATGTCGATCTCACTACTCTATGGTCAATAAACTCTTATTGCCATGTCTCACAAAGTTTAAAAAATGAGTTTTTATAATAAAAACTATTCTCTAATGAGATAGAGATATAAACTTTGTAAAATATAGCACCCAATTGTATAGACATCTACAATTGGGGCACAACCAACATATCAACATATGTAAAAGCAATATGGAATGGTAGTGGACAACTAAGGAAATAAAATGCAACTACACTAATTACATTTTGGCAAGCAATTTGCAACTCCTTACATTGCTAGCTCCCTTGCAAATCCTGTATTATTACATTCACATATACATAGGACGTGCAAGCCCCATTTATAATGGAAAAACCATCTCGTAGGATGGGTAATAATATTGCATTGAATGTAAAATAAAAGCCATAAATGAAATAACTAAACTAAATAACCATACCCCCCCCACACCCGAACAAGGGCCTATACCCATAGGCGTAGCCCATGATCGGTGAGCAAGTGCCAAAACCCGTAGGCGTAGCCCATGCTCGGGGAGGAAAGAGGTCAAAAATAATATTACATTTTTAGCTATATTACATCAATACAATAAATGCAAGAGAATCGTTGTCCACTACCATCCATAAACATAACATCCATGCAAGATGATATAAAACATATAACTTAATCAACATTAAGAAATATGCATCTATCTAGTTATGCAACAAATTGGAAAACTAGATAACATAGGGATTATCCTAACTCAAATAAGACTATCATGCTTCTAACATACAACTACACTAGTTGTAAATAAATGTTTTGCAATTTATACAAGTGTTTTTACTCCTAAAAACATATGAACCAAAAATCACATTTTTGAATCAACAACTAGTATAATTTATTACAAAACAACTTGAATAAATTAACTAGTTTCATTAAAACATCTTTTAATTAAACTAGTAATTAGAAGCAAGAACAAAGTCCTCTATGAGTTAGATATGCATGTTAAGATTTAATTAGATGGAACCATGGCTCTGATACCATGAAGGGAATCCATGCTTCATACATGCAAAATACGCAACGGAAGACTATATGTATAATTATGCTATGCATGTAGAGAGCATGAAATACATTATAGGACCATTCTAATTAAATCTAACATAATCCCTATATTAAAGAGAGCATACAAGGGTTATAAAGTCATACTTTTGAAGCGTGATTCGATGGAAGATCGAACAACCCCTAACTCTTGCTCCTTGTAGTAGTAAATCTCCTCGTAGTGGATCTCCAAGTCTTCAAGTGAGCTTGATAAAATCGGAGTCTTCTTGAGACACAAGGCAAGATATCCACCCCGGGGTACTTTAAAATCCTACTACTTTCTCTTACTCAAGATTGCTAGAAATTAGTAAGAGGAGAGCTCTCTTTTATTCTCTTATGGAAAAACCACTTAGCCAATTTTTCATTAACCTTTCCATAAGAAAGAGAGCTCATATTTATAGAGTGAAATGTGTTCATGACATGAATGACTCATCCTATGAGTCATGCAATGAATCATCAAATATCAATGATTAATCTAGTGAGTCATGCAATGAATCATCTCATGAATCATTACATTTCAAAACCATGTGCTAATAAACCATGTGCTCAAACCATACCACTAAATGACTCATCTCATGACTCATTATACATGGTATGTGTATTTCATAAATGAGAATACCAAATCAATATTGTATTTCATAAATACGATATTTTGTAATTTTCCAATCATTGATTAATAAGTCATCATATGACCAAAAAGTCAATGAGTTGACCAAAAGTCAACTGTTGACCAAAAAGTCAACTAGTTGACTAAAAGTTAACTTTATAGGAAAAATACTAGAATTTATTTCCTAAGCACATAGCATTCCGATTTTATCGATATACATAACTGTTTATGTGTATCCGATAAAATCATATATGCGTATCAATCATACGCATCACTCTATAAATTGTGTTTCATAGGATTCAAGTACGCGCTTGGTGTGACTCTAGGGCCCAACTTAAGAACTCGGCAGTGGATCATATCCACAAGTACAACAGAGGTGCTAGCTACACATGAAGACTACCCGGGTATAAGTTGTGATAAATGTCTGCAAGATGCTAACACAATTATATCAGGACCACTCAGTGATAATGCCGTACAGTCCGGTCTCTTCGTCAAACCATGTCAAACTATTAAGCCTAGGGTATGGAAAACTGTCAAACCCTAATTGCTCAATTAGTGTTTGTTGATATTAAACTCATAACCTATAAGATCAAACTGACAATCAGTTTATCTTATTTACCTTGGCCAAGGATTTTCAGGTTATAGTTATATCAAACAATCTTATGACATCAACCCCCTATACTGGGAGAGACGAATCCCATCTTGGCATCTCAATATCTACTTATGCCTCGGGATGTACCCAACAAGAACCGTTATGCACAACTCGATGAGAACTGTGGTTAGGTAAAAGTCTAAGTACACCTATACTGACATGTAAGATATTGCACTCATGCCTCAGGTCATGAGACTACTATGTACTATATCACTTGAGAACTTCTATTTGACAGTTAAGTATAATTACCAACTAGATGTTCTCAGTGAGTCGTTCAGTCAACTCATTCACTAATGAGTCACCTGTATACTATATCTTGATGTCTCACATCAATGATCTAAGAGATGGATCATCATCCTTCCAAAGGAGAAATAAAGTATACACTAGTCTTACCAAAGTGATCATGTCCCATTACATCACTTCATCGACTAGGAACATTTTAGAATATACGTTAGCGACAAATCAGATCTCTTCATTACGATCATATCCGTAATGTCTGATAGTCTAGTATCATTCTAAGGACTTTATCTGAATATAAAACTACCAGATAAATCTGACCAAAATAGCATACTATTATTTTGAACAAGGATATTATATTCATATAGGTCCTGTTACAATATACAATTATTGCCTGCAGGGCACCTATATCTAACATCAGGCTCAGAAGCGGGAGAGGAGTCTGTTGCAGACAAAACGATGCAGCAGTCCAAACCAAAGAATGTGAGAAAATAGACCTGCAAGACTTCCCGAAAGATTGAGTTCAGTTATCATCAAGGTCTTTTTCTCCTGGTGTTCATCTTAGAATCAGGGTTGTCACTTTTGTCTGTGTCAGAATTCTCTCTCTGGGATTCAATCTCTGTACTCCCACCACAATTCCGCCTATGTCTTCGATCCTGGAAACAATCGCCATTTTTAGTTAAAATGTGAACCTTATGCTCTCTTCGGACTTCATTGAACAATTAAAACGCCACCAAGAAATCAAAAAGATGAGCAAAAAGTAAAATTTTCTAAACTCAATGGTCATCGAGGTAAAAAAAAATTAGTAGCATGACCTAATGTACAGGTTTTATGAGCTTAAAGACTACTACTCAGATATTGTCATTCTACCACCTCATAAGTGTCATTTTAACCTGCAACCAACATATAAATATCAATCAAGAAAGTGAAATTAATGGAACAAACAACTAAAACATCATACGTAGAGACAACTAATATGGTCCAATAAGTTGGGATAAATGGTTGCATGCCAAAAGATCTAAAAGGAGCCAAAAGAAATGGGTACAACAGTTTGTGAAGAAATGTACTGTCTAAATTTCTCGGTACGTAATATCTAGACCATGTGGGAGCCAACTTTATGCATTTATCATTGGTAATAGTTAAGTATTTAGGTCAAATTAGCCACCAAATTAGCAAAAGCACTTCTAATTTAGCGCTCAACATATCTATTCTTATTGGACATTTTATTAGTAATTAAGGGACAAGAGAAAGGGAGCCTAAGCTTGCTGAACTGTACAAATAAATATGCTCTCCAAATCAGTAAGTTGTTCGTTTTCTTACCTTATTTGCAGGACAGCTATAGTCCACAGGATCTCTCCCAGTAATGGCCTCCAACAGCACAACCCCAAAGCTATAGATGTCACTCTTCTCATTCAGTAGTCCACTATTAGCATATTCTGGTGCCACATAACTGCAAAATTAAAGAGATCAGACATGGTGAATAAACACATGACAAACATCCTTGTGGCATTGAGATCTCGATTTCTAATCGAGAATCATTACAGAAGAAAATATGTATTACTTGTAAAGTTGTAAGGCTTTGAAGAGACCTACCCAAATGTCCCCATGACTCGTGTGGTAATGTGGCTTTTTCCAGCACCCAGCAGCTTAGCCAAACCAAAATCTGACACTTTGGCATCAAAATCTTCATCGATCAATATATTACTTGACGTGATGTCTCGGTGCACCACTTTCAGTTCAATTGCCTCATGTAGATAAGCAAGCCTGTACAATGATGATGCTGGAAAATATTCACATTGAGGAAATCATGTTCTCAATATTAAGAACAAGCTCCATTAAAACTTAACTATGAGACAATTTCTAAACCAATTGAATCGATCGAATAAACTGCTAAAACGAAAGGGCAAAATCAAGCAATCCAATTCCTCCTAATTCACAGTCATCTAATCCAGCAAAATATTAATCAATTTCTAGCCAACAAATCGATCTCCATAACAGAATAAAAAAATCCTAATCAAAACTCGTAAAAGCTCAGGATCGAGATATGAACTTACTTGAAATGGGCGTAATCCTTACCTGAGTTGGGGGATCTCGAGAGAGAGCTCGAGGAAGATCGGTCGCGATCAGCGGTAATGGGGATGTCGCGGTCGACGGAGTTGGGGGGAGTCGGTGACTTGATGGAGGAGGAGAAATGGGTACGTCAACGGATTTGGAGGAAGTTAGTGGCTTGATGGAGGAGATTCAATTTTGGGGATAAGGGTTTTGGATGGGGAAGAGAGAGAGAGTGGTCACGAGAAGAGGGGTTATGAGCTCTTCATCAATTGTCGGTGGCTTTTTTCAAAAAGGCCCCTGCTTTCGACGAGAAGTACGGTCACGAGCTCTTCAATTGTCGGTGGTTTTTTTCAAAAAGGCTCATGCTTTCGACGAAACAGTCCGGATGCGTACGCATTAGTGCGTATGAGAAATGTGCTGTATATATATATATATATATATATATATATATATATATATATATATATATATATATATTTCCATATCTTCATATAATATATATAATATATATATATAATTATATTTATTATATATTTGGCCACCTCACTACTAAGTTCAATGAAAGAACTTCTTCATATTTCTCATATATATATATATATATAATATATATTACGTTTCTCATACGCACACTTCGAGACGCATTCGTCCGAACAAGGGTTTTTTTTGCAAAAATCTCCGATTGTTTGAGGCGCGACCCATTCTCTCTCTCTCAAAAGCGAAATTCCCAGCTCCCCAGACAGCCCCCATCACAACTTCCTCTCTGAACTCCCCTTCTCTCCTCCTCTCTCGGACGAAGAAGATCAAGACCAAGGTCCCAACGACCGACGGCAACCACTGCAACGAAGAGAATGCATCCTGAGCGACGGCGGCTGCGCGCCAGTCCTCCCTCGAGCGTCTGCCTCTGCCCCTACCCTCCCCTCGAGCGTCTGCTGCTGAACGTCGGAGGCAGGCGATGGGAGATGGGTTTCCATATCTTCATATAATATATATAATATATATATATAATTATATTTATTATATATTTGGCCACCTCACTACTAAGTTCAATGAAAGAACTTCTTCATATTTCTCATATATATATATATATATAATATATATTACGTTTCTCATACGCACACTTCGAGACGCATTCGTCCGAACAAGGGTTTTTTTTGCAAAAATCTCCGATTGTTTGAGGCGCGACCCATTCTCTCTCTCTCAAAAGCGAAATTCCCAGCTCCCCAGACAGCCCCCATCACAACTTCCTCTCTGAACTCCCCTTCTCTCCTCCTCTCTCGGACGAAGAAGATCAAGACCAAGGTCCCAACGACCGACGGCAACCACTGCAACGAAGAGAATGCATCCTGAGCGACGGCGGCTGCGCGCCAGTCCTCCCTCGAGCGTCTGCCTCTGCCCCTACCCTCCCCTCGAGCGTCTGCTGCTGAACGTCGGAGGCAGGCGATGGGAGATGGG